CATATTATGTAGCTGACCAGGAATTAAAACAGAGAAACGAAACAGTTTTGGGGGGCTCCTCTCACTCTGAGGGATCCGTTCCTAAGAATAGAAACATTTTTTCGTAAATATTCTGTTAGAGGAAAAAAAAAATCCAGCTATTTTTAAGCCTGCCATGGAAGCCATCCTGTTGTTAGAGGCTGTCTCTGAAAGGCCGTGGAACCCATTTCCATTCTCCTGGAGAACCGAGCTACACAGAACTTGCTGGAGAATATTCGAACAGTGATAGAAACCCTGAAAGTCTTTGGTGTAAATAGCAAGTGTGGGGATAGCTGAACTAATTCTACATCTCCTCCGTAAACTGAAGCAGCTTTATCTTCCAGCCTCTCCTCCCTCCTCCTGACCCTGTTCAGGAGAACCAGTTCAGCACGAGGGACCCGCACCCAGCTTGAAGTCAGGGCTGGTTCACATTTGGTATCAGCCAAGGAGACTGGCTCCCGGGGCGGGGCGGCAGCTCCTCCCGCCGGTGCAGCCCGTGCAGCAGATCCGCGGGGCACTGGCAGGGGAGCTCTTCCAGAGGGGCTTGTCTATCGGGAGGGGAGGCTCCCCTGCGAGCTGGCCCAGGACTCAGCACCTCCTGCCTTGTGTGACTTCGCCCTGCACGGTCAGTTCCTGCCTCATCCCTGGTCTGTGCACAAGCCCCGGTCTCTCCATCCTTGAACAGTCAGGAGGATGCCAAAAAGAAATTACCTTGACGATAATGATAATGATTCTCATGCCTGTTTTTCAACCCCTTCCTTAAGAAAGAAAAAAATGCCAGTTGCTTTGGAAATAAATCCCTCAGGCTTGTAGGGCTGTCCTGTTGTTGCACTGCCTCGCGTTGACATGGTTTTTTTTTATTATTATATTATTATTATTATTTAAATTTTTTTATTTATTATTTATTTATGATAGGCACACAGTGAGAGAGAGAGAGAGAGGCAGATAGGCAGAGGGAGAAGCAGGCTCCATGCACCGGGAACCCGATATGGGATCCGATCCCGGGTCTCCAGGATCGCGCCCTGGGCCAAAGGCAGGCGCCAAACCGCTGCGCCACCCAGGGATCCCGTGTTGACATGGTTTTACCTTGAGATGAAAAATTTTAAGCCCTGTTAACTAAGGGATATAATTAATTAATAACTTCTATCTTTAACTACAAAGCCAACTTAAAAATGTGGACTTTAACTGAATGATGCTGGCGTGCCTGTGAATCTGAAGGAATGTTGGCTTCAGACTAGGCAGGGTTAAAGGGCATTAGAAGTCCTGCATTCAGAGTTTTCAGGTATGGGTTTTCTTGTTAGAGAAAACATTTTTTTTTTTAAATGCTACCATCTCAGCACATACACATCATGGTAATGAGAAGAGCTGTCAAAGCAAGTTAGAACAACTTTCTTTATGTCCCCCCACTCCCCTTTCTGGACACATCAGAGGTCGGTACTTTCACTCAGCACTTCACCAGAAAGTCTTGCTCCTTCTAGAAGCTCTGCCCCTAGTAAGATAGGCCCATCTGGGTTATTTCCTCCTGGTCAAGTCCTGTTCAATACCGTTCCTAACACATGCAACCAGAATCACAATTCCATGATGACATATTAGTTTTTAGTCGTGTACATTGTATTCAAGACTGTCTCGTGAAATGCGTGGCTCTCTCTAACTTTTAGAGAGAATGGAATGCTAATAATCACATTTAGATTTTGGGAGCGAAATAATCATAGCTTGAGGAAGTGAAAATAATGATTGGTCCTGTTGTGTTTATACAAAACTCAGTTATATATACATATATAAAAAAACTCCGTTATTAAAAAAAAAAGTGGATGGGGATTCTAAATTATTTGCCCCACATAAGAAATCCAGATTGTATTTGAAGAATTTTCTCCTTCACTAGTTGTAGTTTTTAGACTGTTTTAGTTTTAAAAGGCATATTTATCACGAAAGGTAGAAGATCCGACAATTGTCTGTCTTGTTAGGTTCATTATCATGATGAACTGATAACAGGTCCAAATGGCCAGAATGCCATTTTTACACAGTCCTCTCCAAGTGTGATTCCTGCTTCAATTTTACCGGCACATAAGCGGGAGGGTATTCTGTGTTCTGCCTTGAAGAGTATCTTCATTACGTGTAGGTGATTATCATTTATAATTGCATTTGACAAAATGGCTTATTATTGGGTAGGCAGTCCTGAGATGCTGTGTGCACGGTCTCTGCAGGTGAGGAGCTGTTGCAGTGTTTGCAGACCTGCCTGTGGGAGAAGGAAATTACCTGGGATAACACTTCTCAGCTTCCGTGAATTTCGACGTGCACCCAAAAAGTGCTAGCATGTGAAAAACCAATGGCACCATTTAAAAAATCATCTTTAAAGTAAATAGAGATCTGTTTGAGTCACTTAAGCTCTTAGGAACGCACAGTGTAAAACAAAAATAGTATTTCCGTATTTCACATATTTGTTACCCAGAATATCTGGGAAACAATCATTTGCAAGATACCATTTATTTACACTTAATTTTTCCAACACTGAACGCACTTTCAAAAGTCAGTCTGATCGTAAGCATTTATTCAGTGAACTATCCCCA